GCAGGAAATTCTTACTTTAACAAAGAAATATAATATAGCTTCACAAGCTACACTTGATAAAATCACTAGCTTTTAACTTCTTTACCACTGGATGCAGGTTATCTTAGCTATTCACTGGGCCCAAGGTATTGCCTGCCACTGGAGAGACACATTGTGCTGCTTGATACCATCAGACCTACCATTTCACATGACACCAGACTCCTGCAATGGATATTAAGTGGGTCTCACAACACTAGTGCACTAAGCTCAGTGAATTTTGCAGGATTGATGGAGTAGAGCAATCCCTTACTGTGAAACAGAGAATTCCCATAGTGCCTGCAGTGCTCAGGGGAGGAGATACAACATCCTTTGACCCTATTCCAACCTGGTAAATCTGCATGTCACATTGTAAAATCCAGAAAATGTATAGTCTCTCATTTGTCCTCATACTTCAGTTAAACTGTACATGTTTTGATCACTCAGCTTTCTAAACAGACACCATGAGTCCTGCTGGAGGGTTAAAGAAGATGCAAGGCTTTGGCCCTGAGTCAAGGCTTAGTCTTTCCCAGCAGACACTGTCACCCAACAGGGAGTCCTGTGTGCTTCCCGGTGCCAAAGCATGTTTTTTTAACTCCAAGCAGTGCTTTTGCTGCTTCTCTCCCTGTACAAATGTGCAGTTAGTCTCACCCTATTCATCACTGTTTGCAAGACAGTGTGACAGTGGAAATATTATTAAGCTAGGCAGTGAGCCAGCCAGGCAGAGGAATAAATTAAGTTAACAGGCAACCATTTTGTCAGCAACAGATCCAATGTGGAATGCAAGTTCTGCAAAGATAAAAAATATGAGCAAAACATTATCTGATCATCACCCGTGTTGGCAATGATGACAGAAACTAGTGAGCTTTGTGAGTCTAAGCAAATGAGACCAAGATTTGAATTTATTCCACCCATACTACAAATCAAATCTTACCCTTCTTTACTTATTCCTACCCAACAGAAATCAGGGCCCCAGACAGTACTCAGCAAATCAGAACAGCTTAAACTTTCTCAGCAGTGTTTGAATAGCAGAAACTGGAGTTTGTGCTGGGAGGGAGAGAAAGGTAGGGATGATAATTTCTGTTTCCAGAGCAGTTTGATAGTTTTTTAATTCATCTTTCTCTAGTTGTGAACTACAGTGGTAAAAGTAGCTGAACAAGTACAAGAAGTTCTGCTGTGTTTATTAATCCATTATGTACAAAAGGGAACAGCTGCACTGCAATAGAATAATAGAAATCTCCAGAAAAACTATCTTTAAAGCAGTTATTCAGGTCTAAATTTAACTTAGGGAATTGTTGCTGTGAGCAGATCACTGTGTACAGGTCTTGTTTGTGTCAATTTTCAATACTTGATTACCCCACAGTTATAGGTCTCATTTACAATTATTTCCATCCACTTCCAAATATTAGCAGAAGGTTCATTGTGAAAAAAACAGCTGAGGCATTTACCCTTGTATTTCATTCCTTTGCCCAAACTTCATCTCGCCTGTAAACAACCCTAGACCAGTATTCAAGATATTTGGCATTTCCTACTTTTTATTTGCTTATACCCTTTCCTTTTGAATTTAATGAAGCTTTGATGCAGCTTTTCTCTGCAAGAAGAATGTTTTCACCAGTGACAGTGTTTCTCTGGGATAATTTCTGAAATTGAGAATCTATGAGTTTTCCATGCAAAAGGAATTACAAAGCTCCAAAGAACAGCTAAGTGAGCTAACACATGAAACAAAACCACAACTAAATCATCACTGTAATTTCACTTAAGAATTGCCCAATAGATGTGCCCAAGATCACCATTTAGCCCTTGCACACACCACTGAGTGGAAATAGGTCAGGCAGCCTCATAACAGCTCATCTGATGAATTTTCAGAGGAAAAAAACATCTCTGAGAGACTGAAGCCACTCACATGTTAAAAAGAATTCTTTCTCAGTTCAGATTAAATATAAATACTATACTAAAACTGGTCTTTTAGAATGGCAACAACATCCAGATTTGGTGACAATCATTTTAGAGTGCATTGTAAGTAGAAAAGTTTCTGAAAGATTGATTGCATCAGAGGTCAAACAGACTGTGACTCAAACACCATCACCAAATCTGAACTAGATGAAAAGACATATTGAGACTGGCCCTTTTCCATATACAAATATCCTATGTTCATTACTTGTTCCTGAACCAATCATATTTTCCTCCTCCTACCAGCTCTCACAGAAATTCAGCTGTTCTTCTCCATCCCAGCTGTTACAATTAACACACAGACATTACCTTTTGTCAGAATTATCACAGTTATTTAATGGGACATATAATCAGCATTGGAAGATAACATTCCAAGTTATTTATGGATAAAGAAGTACAGGATTTTTTAGGTAAAGTGTTACACTGGAGAGTCTAAAGTGACCATTTTCAAGATTTGGAAAAAATGTGTTCAGCAAAGTGCTTTATGGCACTTGATTAGGCTTGGGTTCTTTTCATACCTTTCTTTAGCTGATTGCAATATACAGTATTGGAAATTAGTGGCTTCACCTCCCAGCCAGGGGAGGAATTTATAGCCTCCTCTGGCCTTAGACTCATGGTTGAAATTACTACTTTAACAGAACAACTTTTTTTTCCCATTTTGTACATCATAGTTGATGTAAATAATGATACCTGTAGAGCAATTAATGTCTTGCTATGGTGTGCTTCAAGTTTACGTGCCAAAGGGGCCCTAAAAATGCCACAGGGGTAGCTCCCCTGTATCTTTTCTTTATTGACTTCATTTTCTGTTGAATTAGGGAGCTGATTTGCATTTAAAATTTCTTATTTTGAAGTGTTATTTTTGTCACAGTCAAGTACCTCAGTTTGTTTCAACATGAAGGTTCTTGAACTGTGATGGCAGCCATAGGGTGGAATGGGACAGTGAAGCGTGGGTAGAGACCAGGAAATGTTAAAGTTAACATTGCCATAAAGAGTGACCGCTCATCTACAACCTCAAATGTGCTAAAACCCATTAGAAAATCATTATTCAAAGACAGAAAAATAAAAATTAAAGTAATGGGGTCAGTAAAAGCAGAACATTAAGGAATGTTTCTGGCATTTCCTCTCTCTCTCCAAAATAGCTAATGCCTCCTCAGTAAAACAGAATTAAAAGGACATTCTGAGGAACTTTCAGAGCACGTTTCAGAGATGCCACAAGAGCCCCATAATGTTGCCCTTTGACATTCAGTCAAACAAAGAACCAGTCCCTACCACTGCTTTAGTGAAGGGCTTGAGCTACGGATCAAGGAGGCAGGTCACCAGAAGCCCCAAGACGTGGACTTGGTCACGGCCTTATGAGCCCCTGCACACTGCTTCTAGAGCACAGGAATGTGATATACGTAATTTAAAGTCTTCCAGGCTTTCCCTTATAAAAAATAATTGAAAAGATGTCACTAGGTAGCTTTTGAGCTGCTATTCCTTGTAAATTAATTCCTGTTTATTGGGTTTTAGCCATATAATGGGAAAAGCATAGTGTTTTCAACATGCCCTTAATGACCACTCTCTGACTTACTAATCAGCACCTTATGAAATATATGCATACCACCAAGTATAAAAAATAATGCACTTACAATTCTTCCTGCTGGTTCACAGCACACTACTGGCATAAGAAAGAGCTTCTGATAATTGCATTACCCAACGGAAATTCTCTATTCTCAGACCTTCTGTTGACCATTCATTTGATGTGTGCATTTCACTTGATGTGTATTTCTACAGTGTAAAGTGCCATTATGCACAGAAACGGAGACTTAAAACTGCTGCTTGCAATTTCTTAGTGGAATCACTCACAGCCACAAAAGAAGGACTCTGAGATATTTAAATGCTCATGAATATCAGTACCTAGATGGCAGGTGTTGCTTTACAGAGATTAATTACAGAAAGGAATGGCTATCTGAGACATCATTTTAAAACTCAGCACATCAAAGATATTGAAAACATCAGGATAAACTTGAGCTGCAGTTAACAGTGGATGTAAGAGATAACATAATTTTTTTATATAAATATAGAAAAATAGGACAGTGGGGGAAAGTCTAGGCCTGCTACCAAAGGGAACCAAAAGGAAAAGGGAACCGGTGATTGAAAGGTCAATGACAACTGTTGCCAACCGATGGCGTCATAAAGTCCTCCTGATTCCCGGTGGCCCACTAGTGACTAGTGTCACTAGCAACAACAACTCTGCATTAGTCCTCTCAGAATAGAAGATCTGGTATTTAAGATGGCTGATTTGAACATTTGGGTTTATGTGAATTTGGAAAGAACGGATAAAGGATATATGGAAGTATGCAAAGTGGCAGGATTGTACATAACCTGCCCTGGCATGGTTTAGGAATAAGGAGAGGAAATCTTTGCTGTGAGCCTGTTAAAGCCAAATTCCCTTTTAAAAGTTCAACCGTCTTCCATCACTTGCTTACAGAAAGAGATCATAACACAGATGCAGAAATGCACAGGTGATTCCTGTGAGAAGTGGAGAAAGCTGCATTGCTTGCAAATGCTGATCAATCCTCCTGCAGCTTTCTCAACGCAAACTACAGCTGCAAACTAAATGTCTGCTGTGACAGTCATATAACATTTAGGGGAAAATATGGCAGAGTGTGGGGAGGAAGGACCACTGAATTCCACCCAGTTTTTGCTTTACAGGTGTAGGTGTGATGTGTTTAGGGACATGTCACACGAGAAGCAGCTTAACAAGAGATAGACAAGGTACAGCTGTCCTTTAGGAGATTATGTCTATAAAGACATGAAGATACAAATGTAGTTATTAAAGTCCTCAAAGAATAAAAAAAACTTGCTGCAGCTCAGCTCTAGTGATAAAGGCTGGTAAAGGTGGTCTTTAAAAAGTCTGCCAGATAGAATGTGTGCTGGTTGTTTATCCCCTCTGTTTCCCCACTTACAGAGCCAGCTTTTCTTATTATGTCACTTGCAGCAATGTGATCATTGTGCCAATCTCATGCCATCTTTTTCTTTTTCTCTGCACAGAAATGGTTTCTATCAGAACTGAAAATGTTACTCAACTTTACAGCATCGTGGCCACCCAGGAGCTCACAGTCAGTCCAGCAAATTTCCGCAACCATTCAGGAGCACATCAGCTTTATCAATATGAATGTGTTAATGCAGAAATATGGAAATGGCTACAGGATTATCAGCCTGCATTCCTCTGGTTTATATTTATTCTGGGAGGAATAGAAAATTCCTTTGTCCTCATCGTCCTGTGTTTCCACAAGAGTCGCTGCACAGTGGCTGAAATTTACTTAGCAAACATGGCACTTGCTGACCTATTGCTAGTTTGTGCTTTACCATTTTGGGCCATTAATATTTCTAATAATTATCAATGGCCTTTTGGCCTGTTTCTCTGTAGAGCTGTCAACATAATGAGCAACATGAACTTCTATTCCAGCATTTATTTCCTGACACTAGTAAGCATCGACCGTTATCTGGCCTTGGTGAAAACCATGTCTCTTGGACGGATGCGACGAGCTGTCTGTGCCAAATGGAACAGCTTTGTAGTCTGGTTGTGTGCATTGCTCCTATGTTCACCTTCAATCGTGTTCAGAAATTTACAGTATTACAAAGAATACAACATAACAGCCTGTGGCCTTCTTTACCCAGCCAGCTACTGGGTGCCTATCCAGAACTGCTTGCTGAATACTGTGGGCTTTTTGATCCCGCTCTGTATAATCTCCTATTGTACTGCACAAATTATCAAAACCTTAAAAAGTAGTGAGGCACAAAAGCTGAAGGTCGTCCAGACAGAGAGAAAAGCCACCATGCTGGTCCTTGCTGTGCTCTTGCTTTTCATTGTTTGCTGGTTTCCATTCCAGATCACCACCTTCATCAACACAATCAGTTACTTCCTACCCACTTTCAAATGCCTGGAAGAAATCAATGACATACTGACTGAGATCGCTGTGTACTGTGCCTTTAGCAACAGCTGTCTGAACCCAGTTCTGTATGTAATTGTTGGGAAGCATTTCCAGAAGAAGGCTGTGGAATTCTTCGAGGGACTGGTCCCAAAAAGATGCAGAAAATCAAAGTCTGTGCAGATGGGAAATTCCCTGGACACTTTAAGAACTTCTATTTCAAGTGAATACCCAAGGAAAAAGTCTGATTTCCAATTACAAAAATAGCACAGGTTGTTCATTACAGGAAAACACATATCTAATATGTCAATTCCTGGTAATACCCATCTGCCATAGGTCCACAGAATAAGTGTGTTGTAGTATTACAGAATCACAGAATCCTAGGGGTTGGAAAGGACCTCAAAAGATCATCTAGTCCAACCTCCCTGCCAGAGCAGGGTCACCTAGAGTACATCACACAGGAACGCATCCAGGTGGGTTTTGAATGTCTCCAGTGAAGGAGACTCCACAACATCCCTGGGCAGCTTGTCCCACACTCTCTGTCACTCTCACGTTAAATAAGTTCTTCCTGATATTCACATGGA